CAAAAAAATTATTTTTTAAACTGTACATCTAACGTGTAATCAGCTACTAACATAAAAACTACGAACAGAATAAACGTTTCAAGACCTGTAACACGAAACTGGAAAGAGGACATTTCTGGTCTCCATGATTAGGTGAGATTAAACGTAAACCTACTTATGCACCAAGCTACCTAACGTATTCCCAGAAAAAATGCACTCAATCCGTGGTATTTTTCAACTGGATCTAGTTTCCAAGTTACTACATGTGACATAAATTGTTTAAATTAGATTTTTACAATCGAGGAGGATACCTCAAATTTTTGGCACTTAAATGCAGAACTAAATATAGCGTATTCTTATTTAAGATTTGTTGAAGAAACAAGCTTGATCATATTTCCCAAAACTCAATCATCAGCGCAGTAATGACGGTTCTGTCTACGGTTGCTAGCCATGGACATTCGGCTTCAGACACCTTGCAGCGACATTCTGAAAGTACCGGAAATACAATGACTGGGGCAGGGTTGAGCAGAGGAAGCCGAAATGCAAGGACGGTTTTGGCGGAGGCGAATCTCCGTATCCGGTAGCATAGCTATATCTTGCGCCCGGCTTGATCGAATAACATTGGGTTAAAAACACAGCGATATTAACAACAGCGGCATGATGTTGTCACAGTTTTGTGCAAAAAACAGACTGACTATTATGAACATCCTTTGCTAGCATTGAAGTATACCTGATTAGTATGAGTCCTTCGCGGCGCCATGAAGTACATGTAGATTGATTAGACTTAGGACGAGGAAGCAATAAAAAGAATGGGGCAAGGCAACGCGCTAACTTCACAAAAACTATACACAGCATCAATTAACCACTGCTGCACTTCAAGAACTGCTTCAGTTGTGCTACAGCTATCGACTGCGTTGCAACACCGCCGCACCTTCATACTAGGTTATCGTCTGAGGAGGCCAAAGCTCCACAACTTTTGAGTACAAACAAATAATTTAAACCCCAAATCCTGCCTTATGCATATGCACCAACTTTCGGATATGGCAATTTTACACGATGAAAACATCAGCAATTTTAGCAAGTCCTTTGTTCAGGTTCTGTAAGCTATCAATGAAACATAAAAACGTTTTGTCCACCTTCAGTAATAAAGCATTACCGACTAAGAGTTCTGTAAGAAAAACATTTAAAATGCAAAACTTTAAACCTGGCACTATACACTAAAGGCTAACCTTGTACAGAATAGTTTTCTTTTGAGAGGAGCTGCATTACGAAATATCAGGTATGTCATCAAGTTTTATCAACCACTCGTAAACCTGAATATGTGAAATAACGAATGACTCCCATAAGACTAGATGGCACTGGGCACTGCACTTGCCCTATGAGTAACGGGCCACAGTAAGCCGTAAAATCCAGAGTGGCAGAGTCATTCTAAATGTTACAAATTACGACAAACGAAGGTATACTAAAGTAAACGTGAAGTATCAATCTGCAGGTTACATTTCTCAGAATTCGTAGAAACCTTTTTCATACATTACAGGTATTACATCGTTGATATCAAAATATATTTTCCGCAACAGGGTTGTCTGCTTTAGTATCGCGGCAACTGCTCAATACATTAATCGTAGTTTCAATGGATTGGAATAATCGCGCTGCTACTGTTATCACGCTGATATCATTTCTGAAACATATCGTAGATTCGAAAAAGTGCTATACCAGGATGTTAAGGGCAGACGACATGAACGGAAGATTCCAATATCGCCGTCAGTGTATGATATTAAATATCAATGACATCGTATTTAACGGGTGTAAACGAAGAAACTAAAAAAAATTATTTATTTCTTCCTTACATTTATTCCGCGATCGAATGAAACAGATCGAAATCTTACCCTTGAAGTATTCTTGTCACTAATGGAGACAATTTAAACAGGTCATGGATCCAGGGCTGAAATTCTGCAGAGAAAAAATTCAACAAGAAAAAGAGAGTTCATTTTTGATGGGAGCATTTTTGCTTACCATGAGAGTCTGTCATCGACTGCGGCAAAGTTGAACTGTCCTTGTCCAAAATGCACTGACAGCTCATTGATAAGTTGCGAGGTTTCAAAATTTTCGCCTTTGTCAATCCCGCAATTATTCTCCTGCGAAGCGAACAAAATATAATCCCGATGTTATAGGACAATTTTAACGAGTGGGAACTTTCATTTCAGCGGGAAAAAGATATATTTCAAACTTTGACCTCAGATATACGAGCACAAAACTATGGCATAAAATAAAGAGTGACTTTTCCGCGCTATTCCGATACCATGGTACCGAATAAATCTTTCGTACCAAGTGTACCGCAACATCTTATGGAATTTTTTCTCTTCCTTAGATCATTCAGTTCCCATACTGTACCGATTCTCAATCGATCAATTTTCATTAAATCGTCTACATAAACCTGTTAACAAAGAGAGTTTCAGAATATTTATTTAAAACTGAGTAAACATCTCTAAGAAAAAATCAAGCCGCGCGTCAAAATTCAATACAACGCTTCTCTGAAGCATTGCTGCATGCATTTGTCATATCTCAAACCCTACAATATTGGGAGAATTGTAAACGAAGTTATTGAATTGAGTTCAATTTTTTATTATCTTCATATTTATGATTTAACGTTAGATGTTTTGAAGGTTTAACCGAAAGAATTAAATCAAATATTAAATATTGTACCTTCAATGTAGTATATGTCTGTATTCTCAAATCTTCCAATGAATATGGTAGCATTTTGTTTGATCTACAAGTTTTGTGACGCAAAATCTTTATAGCAAACTATTTTCTTGCAGGACGTTTGACCGTTTGATAGGTACGTGGATTTTGCTGTTTTGTCAAGGATACGATGGCAGGTACTCGAGTTTACATTGGACGCTTGCCTTACAAAGCGAGGGAACGTGATGTCGAAGAGTTTTTCAAGGGATATGGGCGTATTCGAGAAATTCTGCTGAAGAATGGATTCGGCTTTGTTGTACGTACGTTGCACACTGGGTGTGATTTGCTATTTTTTTATTTTCAGGAGTTTGATGATCCACGTGACGCTGATGATGCAGTTTATAACTTAAATGGTAGAGAATTATGTGGAGAGAGGTAAATGCTGTTTAAATCGTAGTTTTTCGTAATTTCGCCAGGATTGTGTTCAGAATGTGTTCAATGTTTAGGCTGATCTTTCTTTTAAG